GACGCGCAATATGAAATATTATTCAAATGTATTCTAAATATAAAAGTTTTAAGAAAATTATTTTTTTTTACATTGCTATCACCACATGCAATGCAGTAAAGCCACACATAAGGGCTTACAACGTGTGGAATCATTAGGAATAAAAACATTAATAATGAGCAGAAAGAGAAAACAGTAATTACGAGGAGAGTAGATAGTGATTGATATTGCATTTAAAGTTTTATTAAAATTGGCTGGAAAGCATAGAACCAGGTGAGGGTTTCACAAGAGTGAAGTGCGAGAAAAGAAACTGTTAACATAGACTTACGATTACATCTAGCCAGTTGAGCTGAAAATTGATGAGAATTAGACGCCAGTCTAGTACTGCACTTAAATTAAAAATGTCTAGTTATCAGAGCGAAGAGCCCTCCGAGCAAATACCATGAATGGATTTATAGAAAAGACAGAGAAAGGCAACCTTACAGTGTTGAGAAAGTAAATGAAGCCTAGCCGCCAGATGAGGACTAATAATATTGCTGATTCTTCTTTAGATTTTATCAAGTAACTCGAGATAAATAGCAAGAGCACCGAACCATATATGGCAGTAATATTCTAAACATGGACGAATTGTAGACTTATAGATATGTAAGATAGATTCTGGAGAGAAAAATTGTCTCCCACTACAGAGTAAATCAACATTGTTAGCCTGATGACCTAGCAATGGATTCGATATAGTCTTTTATCTTCATGTCAGCTTCATAAGCCCGAGAATGCACAATGATTCACATTCCTGGAGGTTAGCATCAGAAATCGTATAAAAGATTTGAATTGTTAACGCATAACACATCATTAGATATGCAAACCTGGGGATAGTCTCAGAAGAGACTGAAACTACTTGGTAAAATAAAAATTATTGGGAAGAAATCTTTGCAATTTTTCTTGATCAATTTACTACAGACACCAAGAATTTAATTCGTGGATTTGAAAGTATTAAACTAAAATATATAGACATAATACGTCTAAATTATTTAACCAAATAGGCTTGAAGGAAAATATGATCATCTATATATATGTTTTCTGTATATATATATATATATATATATATATATATATATATATATATATATATATATATATATATATTTGAGAGAGTTGATGTCAGTTCGGGAACAGAATTGTTTACACTCGACTTTAGACTTTACCCGAACATATAATTTTGTTGAACTGGAAAATAATTCTGAGGAACACAACGAGATAGCTGATGTTGATTTCGAAATTGGAAGTTTGAGGCTTAAAATATATATATATAAAGAAATGGACAAGGTCCGACAATTTATTTATTAAAGACATTTTTATTTATGTTTAACGTTGTTATTTTATAGATACAAGTATTTAAGCAAATGCTCTGTTTATGATAAACAGTATTAAATAACATTTACCGGCCTGAATGTCCGAGAAATTTTCATAGAAAATATTCGTTCATAGACAGGATTCGAACCTGCATCCTATACGGAACCGTCATATACGCTGACGTGCCTTAACCACTCGGCCACCATGAACCTTATGGTAGACAAGGTCGAATTTACTGTTATAAACTACAATCTTCTATGAATATTTTCTATGAAAATTTCTCGGACATTCAGGCCGTAAATGTTATTTAATACTGTTTATCATAAACAGAGCATTTGCTTAAATACTTGTATCTATAAAATAACAACGTTAAACATAAATAAAATATCTTTTAAATATATATATATATATATATATATATATATATATATATATATATATATATAGGATAGAATGAAGGACAAATGCCCAAAACGAACACTCAGGAAAGCATTCTCTTGCTCAGGGGAGGTTATAAATGTTTATACCATATCACTGGAGATATTTGGGACTAATATTTGATAGAACTGAATATTCAGTTATCTAAATCATTTTCAGAAATCTTCCTCATTAATCATGCCTTAACTGGGACAACTCGATCAATACTCTTTGTATTTCAATCAAACCGAGACCGCCGTGTTGTTCAAGAGGCAGAGGATACGATAGGTTGATTATATCAGCTCAGGGAACATTTTAAACTTTACAAAAGCTAATAAAATATAAAGAAACTATTAAGAAATAATATAAAGTAAAAATGAGCACGGAACGACACTTTGTACTAGAAAATTAATTCATAGATAAAGAGGAAACATTTGGCAGCGGAGATATGGGTTCTGTGAAGAAGGCTGGAAATATCATGGTTGCAACATAAAAACAATCATGAAGTTAGAAAGAAAATCAAAACAAAAGATCACTAAATATAGACTAAGAAAGAACTTGCTGAGTCATATTAGGAAAGAAGTTTGGAGAATTTAACTTTCATAGAAAAATGAAGAACAGTAGTGGAATATAGTTGACAAAACAATTAGTAGAAGGTATATAGAACTTACTAATTGTTATGAATAATCAACAGTGGTCTCCCCTTTTTTCGTTACTCTCCTCTGAGAGAGTTATTTCTGTTAACTGGGACTATAAGATGACACTATATTTGAAAAAAGTTTTCTCAGTTGAATAAAGCTTACTTAAAGCTTACAACTGTATACTTTTGTCACTAATATTAATAAGAACTACAAATTGGAATTTGTAGAGATCCGTGATCACCAACTTCCTGAAAAGATATGACGCATAGAAAAATGGTAAATGAAAAACTGCTTGCCATATCCGCATGTTGATGTTACATTTATTCGTAGTGTCTGAGAGACTACAATACTATCAAATATGTTGACGCGTTTTCATGGAAAGAAAAGGTAAATGAATTGCTGCTTCCAGCCATTACTTTATGAACGGTTAACTTGGCTTCTCTGCTGGTAACCTCAGCAACTTTCTTGCATGTCTTTCATCTAAGTTCCGATGTCTTCTAATCTTTTTTTCTGTCAAGAACAACTCTAATATTCTTTTGGGTGACTTTAATAATGTCTCAACATTAAAGGTACTTATGCAACTTTCTGCTGACCTGGATCAATAATAGTTCACTTATATTCTCTAAAGTACAAATGCTTTATCAAAAATCATAAGAGTAAAACTATTACTAAAATATTAAGAAGAAAAATGTTTTATCTAAAAGGAAACACGAACGAAACTGAAGTAATTTAATGATAAAACTATTTTGTTTTATCATAAAACTATTTTGTTTTATCATCGCCAAAAATGTCTGCTAAACATTTATAATATAATAGATGCCTCCCAGATACTAATGTATTAAGAAACATGGAAATATTAAAAAAAAAAAAAAAGTTTTTGAACAGTTTTTTTTTTTTTTCAACTCTCGTGTACGTCATTGAATGTTTTATAATTTTCCCAAAGATAAAAGAACATTTAGGGCAAAAGTGTTGTCTTTCTAAAGAAAAATGGTGATAAAACCATAGGAAAAAGGGAGAACTTTTAAGGAAAATACGTAGCAGAAAATCTCCTGTCTGTTAATTAGAATCAGAAAGATACAATTGCAATCCATTGTACACATAATGCAGAAATATAGATTTAAAATCACACGCTCACCCGAAATTCTGACGACAAGGAATGAGGGGGGGGGTAGAGGCGGAGAGTAACCTGGCTAAAAAGATTATTTAAATGGATGGCAGAAGAGGTTATGCAATATATAGTGAAAAGAAAAACACTACAAGGAGCTATAAAGATAGGACATTTCTGAAAAACATGGTCTCCAACGTCGTCAAGCATATAGAACAAAACTAGTTGTGGCAGAAATGAATCACTGGCTGATATATCCGTTTTCTGATACTGAAAGATAATGTTGTGAATTTTGAAGAAATACCTTTTACTCCTGGTGTCAGACTGTACTGAAGACAATCAGACAAATTGTCGCATTCAGAAAGATATAAAGCATGTCAATCTATGCTTAGAGCGATTATTTTATCACCGGTTAACTTTTGGCTTCTCTGATGTTAACCTAGCCAAATTTCTTGCATGTCTTTCATCTAAATGCTGATGTCTTGTAATCATTTTTCCTTTCTGTCAAAAACACCTCCAATATTCTTTTAGGGAATTCCAGGAATTTTTCGACATTACAAGTTCTCAGGCGATTTTCTCCTGATCTACTCTTTGTTATGAGATCAATAATCTGCAACAATTTTCACTAAACTATGTCTGCCTTATTTAAAGAAAATAAGTAAAAAAGTAGTATCAAGTAATACTAGTGAAATACTTTATGCAAAAAAAAGTTATAGCATATCTAATGATAAAACAAAGAGTTCAAAACTTCTACTAAGCCATTTTATTAAAATACATGCCTTTCAAATGTTAAACAAAGTAGTAACAAGCAGATAGATGTCGTTAAAAATAAAGAAAATAGTTCTGGATTATTTAATATCTTTAATATCAAATTCAGTATAACAGGAAATGATAGACACAGAGATTAAAAGTGGGGTTGAATCTTGACTTGCTAGGAAATTCTGATGTAGTCATGTTGTTACTTTTATTTAATGCCAGCTACTTTTAAATTATGTTCTGTACAGAAAAAATGGCAGGTGTAATGTGTGGGAGAGCATTTTACATAGCTTCCAAGACTTATATGCATCTACTACTTTCTATCTGAAGGTGTCAGAGATATCTTTTGTAACACCAGAATGATACGCCCACAACAATCATAATCAAATTAAATGTCTAAGTTTTAAATAAGACAGTCTCAAACCAAAATCTTTTTTTAAGATAGTGTAATGTGACGGGGTTCCGGTGATTCTAACTTAACGCATTTTAATAGCAGTATATATTAGATCTGCCATTGTCCCACTAAAGGAAATTGCTTTTATATTAACGAAATATTAGAAACAATTTTAAAGATGTCTTTTTTTGATTTTTAATCATTTAGTTATATTACTTAGAATAGAATCGTAATATATAAATATAAACTTATTTCTCGTAGCATGTACAATTTAAACTATCTTCTTGTTTAAGAACTTACAATAATTCTTTGTATCGTCAACACGGGAAAAGATCTAAAATATTACTGTCTACATGCTTACGAGCATAACACATTGAAACACTTGTTCGCGTATGAACACAGAAGCTAAGCAACGACGGGCCTAGCCAGTACCTCGATGGATAAGCGCTTGGGAATTCTTGTTACCGTAAGCTTGATGTGCGGGTAGTGTAATGTATAATGACTCGGAATTGGTAATAGGAGAGCGGAGTTCTAATTCCCTTTAGCTTTGTTATATTAATTACGCGCAAATACCCCTGCGAATAGGTTTAATTTACCACTTCTTCATCCATCTATGGGTTAATTAGTATGATTTTAGTTAGTAAGTCATTATTGCTCCCAAAAGATTCTTACAACCTAGAAATATTTTTTCTGGGTATAATTAACCTGCAAAAGTTTGATAAGTCGTAAAAAGAAGAAATCAGTAAATAAACACTAGCCCAGAATATTAATCAACAAACTGTGGTCTCCTATACTTTGCTGGTTAAAACCTTTAGTGACGGATTTAATCTGTAGACCATGCATCAGTTTCAGCGAATGTCGATATATAATTACCACTTAAGATGTTGCTGCTAAAGGTGTATCAGTTTATAAGCCTCATAGTATACGGCTTGCTACTATTTTGCAACTTGTGGAATGGTGAATTAAGGTAAGCTGAAATGTGTCATGAAATTTAACTTATTTTAGGTCGGAATTAAAATGTACAAATAAATACGTTGATAATTAAATTTTCTAGACTCAATGTTAGTTGTCAAGAGGAAAAGTATACTTGAGAAAAATGTTGTTGCAAGAATAGAATACTGAATGTTGTTGAATTTGCGTAAGAGGATTCGTGTAATAAATTATGTTTGCACAAAAGAGGTTGTACTAACTGAAGCCGTTAATGGCGATGAAATCCTTTTCCGGCGAGAATATTGCTCAGACAATATACAGGAAGGTAAAATTAGTATTTTCTCTTTCTTGTCTTCAGCATCAAAAAGAAAGGGATGCTTCTAAAAATCATCCTGTCGATATCTCCCACTCTGGGTAGTATTGCCATCAGTAAAAAAAAAAAAAATTATAGATGTGGTAATCTAAAATTTTTTCATGTACATCTTCAACTTCGAAATTTCTCTTCTGATCAATATTTAAAAGTGATAAGGTACATTGTGATGGAGAAAGTTGGCCCCCAAAAGCTAAGCAAAATATTTAGAAATAAGAAAACAACTTACTAGAAACAAAGAAATGGTTACTGAGCTGTTATGTAAAATCATTTCTTCTATTTGGTAGCGAATGCTGAACCATCTCATCACAGATGAATAAAAATCTGAGGCAGCAGAAATGTGGTTCTACAGAAGGATGTTGGGAATACCATAGACTGAACATGTGAGCAACGATTAAGTTGTCAAGAAAATGGAAGCAAAAAAGATACTTAAACTTAGCATCAAAAAGTGGGAGTTTAAATTTTTAGGGAACTCAAAAAGTAACACATTAGATTAGAAATTTTGACAAACACAGAAAATATTGAAGACAACAGCGACGGGGGAAAACAGTGCATAACATTCATAACAAGATTGTTTAAATGGTTTAGAAAACATGGACTAAAGGAGATGGTAAAAGCACAAATGTTACTAAATGGACAGGAAATAGTCGGGAGCCCATCAGAAAGAAGGAAGTTGCTTTTAAATATATATTTTTTCCTTGTCTTTTCGTTAGTATCACAATGTTTTGTTTTATTATGATTTTAATTTGTTCCTAAATTTCATTTTGTGACATTATTAAAACTAGTTTTTTTCTTCTGTTGCTCTTGCCCGCATTTACGTATTTCCTTATAGTTGGTCGCCTTTCTGAGATAACGAGCTATCATTATTTATATTAATTACATTTGAACTAATGCCATAATATTTGTTATTTTTATCAAACGTTACGGCTGCCGTATTCATCGACAGCTTTCACGTGTCTGTCGATAGATACCATTATAGTAACGCCGTTGAACAATACTGGTGTCAGACGTCTTTGAATAACCCTTGCACTATTAGTGAGTCAGTTATGTGCCATGCGTGATACACGCTAATGCGATCATGTATCTTTCTATACATGATTGACGAGACAGATTTTTCGCGCAGTAGGTTGCCATTTCTTAATGCGGAAGACCTGTTGCCATCTAAGGCTACAGAACCAGGTCTGTCCTGCTATTTACCCATAGCTGAGAAGAAGAGGATTCATACCTTTCCCAAGGGTATTAGCACGTAAGAATTCGAACTCGGCTCTCCGATTCCTCAACCCGTACCGCTACCATTAGTCCACCTTGCCTTCTTCCACTAATAGTACTTGTTCGATAATACTCGCTCGAAAAGTAACCACTGAATAGTAATCCGTATAGTGATCAGTATAGAGAAATAGTATAGTGAAAATATTTATTGTACAATGTACAAATGTGGCACAAGGCCGAGATGGGGAAAGGGGGAAAAGGATGGTCATCTTCTGTCTTAACTTTAAACTTAGCTAGCCGCAATCACTGACCCAAACATACAAACAATGTTCCTTTCACCAAAACAACACATCCATTACATACCATTCTTACTACATCCACCAAAATGCCTCAGAGTCTCTATGAAGTTCTAACTAGTCCCCATATATACAATACATGTGTCTGTGGGGGGGGAGGGGAATAAAATAACTATCTAAAAACCCCAATGATTACTTACAATGAATACAAATCTATATACAAGAAACTAAACAAAAATTTTGTTAGTAATAAAACCCCTACAGCCCTAACTGTGGTAGAGACATCAGTTAACTGGACGAAAACAATGCGGGACTTAAAAAAAAATTAAAATAAAACATTCATACCATCCATGCACTCACTACAAACACACACTCAAACAAACACAACAACAAATACGAAAGACATACTCGAAACGAAAGGCGCCCCGCATCCACCAGAGAACTGATATCACTAACTACCTAACGATAGGAGGGATGGGGAATTAAACAAAAGAAAAATAGGGCCAGAAATAAAAGGGGCCAATGAGCATACACACCCTAGCTAAGTTAACATGGTAAAAAGAAAAGGTAACTAAAATAAAACAGACCTAAACTAACCTATACACTGGAGGGGTAGCCAATGTTCACCCCAGCGATCCCAAAATTCTTAATGCCTAACCGGCATCAAAAAGCCACTCCAAATCAGCAATAGTATAGTGAATAGTGATCCGTATAGTAATAGAGGATACAAATAGAAATAGAGTAGCTACACTAATTAACATACATACTTACACACGCTATATCTCTGATATTGGGCACTTTATCCCATAAGTATAGCATACCTTAAGAGTATATTTCTTCATATATATATATATATATATATATATATATATATATATATATATATATATATATATATATATGGTCACGTGGTCTACTTAATTCAAGTTTGCTCATTGGCGATCTATGTTCAAACTTGTGTCAGCAGCAACACTTTATTCCTATATAACAGATCTCTTCAGGCTCAAAACCTTTCACGGTTTAGAGCTACTCTGACAGCATTTTCACAAGGACTGCTAATTTGTGAAACGAACTCTCGCAGGAATTCTTCCTCTAACACAACAAAGTTAACCTCTTCAATTAAGGGCTAATTATTATCTATCCCTGATAAACTTCATATCACACACTTCATTCAGAAACCTTCCACCGTCTGTTGCTCTTGACCCTTGTATCTGTTGAACACTCTTTAAAATACATATGAGAGAGAAAGATAGAGAATGTGTGTGTGTGTGTGCTGTATCTGTGTGGGATTTATTATTTATTTATTCTATTACCATGTACAACTTTGTGTTGGCTTTTTTTTTTCATTTTTTGCTCTTAATGAGTCTATATCGGACACATTGCACCAGAAAGCAGAATCATTCCAACATGCTCTTCTATCAGGATAACAGACTTACAACGAAAAGACTAAAAATGAAAGAAATTATATTTTTGACTGAAGTTATTCAAACATGTTAGACGATTAGTTGCGATAACATAGTATCCTGTTTATTAAAGTGTTGCTTTCAGAGTAAAGAAAGAAAAATATTAAATTAATTCACTTTGGTTAAAGAAAATAGGTCTTTCATCGCATTAGTATAATCGAACGAAATATATGAAGAATAAAAGAAATACACTCCTGGGACTGAAGTAATGTTTTGCGCTCAAGTATGTCTAGAATTTGAAGTAAAATGCCAAGCGCAGTTTGAAAGGAGACGTGTAATTGTCTTCAGCAAAACTGTCCGCGTTGTAATTGAGTAATATGTCTTTCTTTTCATAAGTAACCACCGCTTTTCCAGTCTCCTATGTGAATTCTTTGTAGAAATGTTAAACGCAACGTTGAAAAACACTTAGCAGATAGAATAGTAATTTAACGTATGCGTCTTCTAACAGTAAATTTTTAATTTTCTAGCGTAATTTAAAAAAATGATTGATTCGAATGAATATACAAATGAATAAGAACGATTCAGTATCCGACATTATTTCTGAGAATGTAAGATGGCAGTATGAGGAGTTATCTCCCTTGACAAAATAAAGCTACTTTGGCATATAGTAAATCCAGTTATTAAATATAATTAATTATATGTAATGAGTAATTAAACTAATATCCACAAATCAACATATTTACTCCGATTTCGAACTGATATTGTCGACGTTGAAGACTACACTACGTGCCAAATTATTATCGAGATATTTTTTTTCTAATATTTCAAAAACCGTCCAATCAATTCACACAAAATTTTCACACAATGTTGGCAACACTGACCTGCGCAGTCACCGAAATTTTCGTATTGATCTGCGCAATATAAACAAACTGGAGCCAGAATTGAGCAAACAAAACGTTTATTAATGTTGCACGTGAATGTTTATGATCAAAAGAAGCTAATAAATAAGATAATAAAACGAAAAATAACAGATACAAACAAAGGCACAGTTTTAAACAAATTAATAGGGAAAGTGCTTTCCCTGTTTTGAAATTACTTGAAGAAGTCGAGAATTTGTTAATTGTAGAATGTGGCACCATTTACCGAGGCAGAAAAAGAAAAGAAAGAAAAGAAGGCAAAAGAGGCGAGACCCAAAACGTGGATGATAAGCAGAACACCACGGCTAAGAGACAATGGATAAAGGATAATTTGATAAGTAACAAA